CGGTGTGGTAGGAGCAGTCCTCCGTAGCCAAGGGGTTAAACGCCACATTTATAAATAAAAAATGATGTTGACCACGTGTGAATCATTTTATTTGGTTGGGTCACTGTTTTGTGGGGGGGGGACACAATTGTAACCCTCTCCTTTGTCCTTTTTCACAGATCAGTGTCAAATCCGTGGCAGTGGCCATCGACGTTCCAGTCTGGGTGGAGCGGCAGAACGTAGACCTGAAGATCTGCATGTTCGACAGGCTGTACCAGGACGCCATTGTGGTCAACAACCGGGCCACCACGGCGCTGCGCATCAAGTTTGAAGTCTGCAAGGAGTTGCGCAACCACATGGAGCTCCTACCCAAGACTGCCTACATACAGGCCCAATCACAGTTCTCAGCCCAGTTGAAGTTCCTGCCAAGGTAGGTACTTTGTTTACTACAAAATTTGAACAGACCCAGCTAAAGTTTTGTGCCCTGTTAAGTAGTTATTTAGCTTCCTGCCAAGGTGGGTGCTTTGATTGCTGAAAAGTTGAATAGGCCAAGGCACAGTTCTCTGCCCAGCAAAAGTTCTAGGCAAAGTGAGAACTTTTTCTACTAAAGATTCGAACTGGCCCTTGTCAAAACTCCCTGTACAGTTGAAATCCCCACCACTGTTGATGTTTGATATTGCAAATTTGAAGAGGCCCAGTCACAGTTTTCTGCCCAGTTAAAGTTCCTGCCAAGATGAAACATTCATACTGCAAAGTTTGGACGGACCCAATTTGAGCTCTCTGACCAGTTGAGGTTCCTTTCAAGAGTGGCTCTGTGATATTGCAGACCAGGTCCCGTTCCTGTTCTCTGCCCAGCTGAAATTCCGCTTGAGCTTGCTGGCTTGATATTGCATCTTTTGGAGAAAATCTTAAAAGAAAACAAGCAACCATAAAGGTTTCATTATCCCAGAAAGATTAACTCTAGAATGAAAAGGGAATTGTATACGAATACTTGACATTCCTACAGAGTTGTTATTAGGAAAGGTTGTGTACTGGAACAGTTCCGAGAGTGTTTTGTCCTTTGTTTTTACCCTAGGCATAGTTTAATTGAGGAGGCTGGTCCCTGTTTTGACAAGGAAACAGGTGTGTTGGAAGCACCCATGACCATCCGGGTGGCAGACCAGGTAAGAAGGAATCATATCTCCCAGTCATTAGCCCTGACTGCCAGTGGAGCAGTGTCGTAGCGTTCTGAAGGTGTGAGCTTGGAAACCCCCTCCTCTCAACTTCTGCTCAACCCTGTTAGAAGTAAATTATTTTGGTCTGGGAAATGTAGATTTTTTTGTTGGTGTTATACCCTTCACAGACATAAATGTGGACTCGGTCGTGTCCAAAGATTTGTGAAAATTTCACAAAGATCTGTGAGAATTTCACGAGCCTGCTTGTAAATATGTTGGTGAAGGGCAAAATGCCAATTGCTTTGTTAAAATCCTAACCTTCTGGATTGTGTGATGAATTATATCAAATTGGATTATAGCCCAACTTTTTTTGTGATGTTTCCCTTACAGACGGCTCCTGTGTTGTACACCGTGCATGCCGTGGTCACCACATCCGACATGACCTTCAACACCGACTTCATTGACTTTGGTTATGCCACCATTCATGAGTCGGTCATTGCAACGGTTAAGTTGACCAACAAGTCTATCCTGTCGCAGAAATTCGGATTCGTCAACCTCCCAGACGTGAGCTTGGAGCTTGTTTTGTTTAGAATGAGACGTTCTGTCACTGTAGAAAGTTGTTTGCTTGGGTCTTAGTGAACCAAGCCCAATGTTGCAATTATTCAAGTGAAACTGTAGATCAGACCTTTGGAGACAAAAACCTGAAACTGGTTTGAATTGTAGTTGGAACCCATTTGGAGTGATTGTAACAATAGAAAAGGCACAGTTTTATAGAGCTGTCCGTAAGTCCGGCTTTTTCAGCCTTTTTCAAACATTTACCAATCTTCGAAACTTTTTGATTGGAGTTGGAATTCATTTGTTTGCGTGATGCTGGCTTTACAAGTACTTTGAAACTTTTTATGTTGCGTGCAAACAAGGACAGATGGTCGACAACTTCATGTGGAGGTTGACTGCGAAGCTCGAAAGCGGTGTCTGCATTAACAATGCTTAACAGTGTATATACTGTTTGATGACCTGGGCCAGTCTAGGGACCATTATAGTCAACCACTGGTCAATTTTGCCTGGTGCCCAGGATGCACTTTGTGTGTAGGTCACCAGGCAATACAACCAGTGAGTGGAAAATCATGGTTTGTGATCGAATTTGATCCAGAACTAGAAGTCTTTTACTTCCATAGTGCCATGCTAGCACGCGGGCAGTGCATATGCTTAGAATGCCTCTATGACAAGTAGGGTTGCCAAGTTAACCCCAAGAACTAGTGTGACGTGCATATGACTATAATTGCCTCCATAGTTGTGACAGATCTTCTGATGAATTAATCAACATGTATTTGGATTACCCCGGTTGGGGAATTCGAATGCAGCCTTTCAGTGTTGAGGTTTCACTCATTTTCCTCCGCAGTATGTGGATGTCCAACCCAACGATGGATTCGGCACCTTACTGCCTCTGGAAGCCATCGACCTGGACATCATCTTCAGTGCCAAGAAGGCCAAGAACTACAGCTTTGAGCTGACTTGCAAGTCTGGAATAAACAGGTAAAGATCTGTGGCTATCTCTGCCATTGACTGTTGAAATACCAACGTCAAGACTAAAGATTTCAAGCTATTCAAAATATGTTGTGCTGAAAGTAAACACTGTCATTTGATACAGCTCACCGGTTTCGCTACAAAACATACCCCAGCCCTGACTCATCAGTCCTGATGGTTGCCCTCTTTCTCTCTCAAGAGCTTTCCAAATCTCCTGGAAAGCTTATTTCCTGCCCATTCTCCCTCAAATCTGTCCCAATACATTTTTGCCGGGCCTTTTGTGGATTTGAGGCGTCTGAGTTTTGGCCCATGAAGAAAAGATGTTGATCAGATGGTAGGAACTACTGAGACAAGGTTGGATAGCTAATAGTTGGAAGATTGATCACATGAAGTTCTAGAAGTATGCAGGTTGAAATCCAGCTGCCGTCAATTTCTTTGCTCATCTTTATAATTCACAAAAAAATTGTTGGTCTCACGCAGGGACTTCAAGATCTCCTGTAAAGCTGTGGGCGTCCACCCGCCCCTTGAGCTCTCGCATTCCACCATCCACTTTGCTGCCACCGCCATGGAAGATTCCTCCGTTACTTCCCTGTGGGTGGTCAACTCCCACACTAGCGCCAACGAGTTCACCCATCCGGTGCCCCGCATTGGCAAGGGGGAGATAGCCCCTGTTGGGCCCACGGCATTTGAGTTCGTGGTACCCAGGGGCGTGCCGCTTGCCGTCTCGCCCGCAGTTGGTGTTGTGAAACCTGGCAAGGTAAACTCAGACGTGTACATGCATACCTCCACTTTGGATTTGTGATGTTATTTTCCTCCTTTTGGAATTCATTCACTTAAGAATGAAATTCATTCATCCATCCAAAATCATTAAAAGATCCAGCAGTCTTGTGTTCACGATTTTGATCATTACTGTCTGGTCTTGTCCCAGTTTTGTTCAGATAAAAGTGTGAGCCATAAAATATTGCGCAGAAATTAACTTTGCAGGAACCAGGAAGTGTATTAGAGTATCTGAAGGAAGTTGGGATACTAGACTCTATCATAGTCATACCTTGTGTGAAATAGGTGGTGATTTTCTGTATGAAAATAAGTGGTGATGGCTACAACCAGGAAACACGGCAAGAAATTTTGTTTTCTTCATATTCAGTCTGTCTCCTCTGAGATCCGTTGGACAGAGTATTCTTCTCCTGAAGCTTTTTACTAGCTTTCTGCTCAAAGATTTCTCAATGATACATTTCCGACATCATTCCAGAGATATTTCGGTGTCGCTACTCAAGTGTCCGCAGCATACCTTTGCCGATTATTTTGCACATTTTTTTGCCCCTGTGATTTTTGCAGAAAACCAAAATTTCTGTCAAGTTCTGCCCCCAGCTGGGCACGGCTGACATCAAGGAGGAGGCGGTCAGGCTGGTCACCAAGGCCATGGAGACCAAGGCCAAGTATGAGTTTGAGCAGGCGCAGCTGGCTGCTAAGAAGAGCGCCCTCGAGGGTCTGGCGGAGGAAGAGGACGCAAAGGTTAAAAATTGAAATATTGATTTGACTGGACAAATAGAGCCTTTGGTTTCTTGTTTACAATTTGATATGCAATATGTTATCTGCGCAAGTTGGTCATGTTTCTTAAAACTTTTCTGTCATGAGTGTTCATATGTGGTCTGTTATATTTAATATCAGCTCAGAAAATGCTATGAAATCTCGTTTCTACTTCTTCTGAAGAAAATGTTGAATATTCCTTGAATTTGATTGTGAAACTTTATTGATACATGTTTATATCGTAAAGCAACTTAAAATTTCTTGATGAATTTTTATGAAGCATCTGTTTTCATCTGTCAATCCTGCTGGATTCAAGAAAGATGAACATGTGTATAGGATGTGACCTTGTTGCATCGACAAGTCAAAAACAGCAGCATAAAGTCCCAATTCTGAGACCGAGGGAGCTTCTCTGGCTGAATACTGCCAGTATGTGCTCTTTAGCAGGCTGGCAAGCCAGTACTTTGAGGAGGATTGTGCCACAGATTCAAAACTGAGCCAGCTCCGCTTTTCAAAAGGCAAGATCTTTCGAGAGGGAGGTGCACAGCTGTATTAATATGTTCAGGGTGTGAGAGTCAGCATGCAGCCTTGCTGGTTGGGACCAACCGCACGCATATTGCCCTTCCCGATTGACCTCTAACGCACTGCATTTTGGGCATGCATCATTGATATGCAGAACTGGGTCATTATCAAAATTTTGGAATAATCTTTTTTTCAAATGAAATAATTGGAGGTGAAAATCACGGAAAAGAAAAAGAAAACAGAAATTAATTTCTGTTAAAGTTTTAATAAAAGATTGCAATCTAACACCATATTTAATAAGAACAAAGACGAATGATACCATGCTGTCTAATGTGTGCTTTCCCGTGGAGCACAGTGGACCGTGGGCCCTCATAGGTTGCATAGGAAAGTGCACACGTAAAGAAAGTACAGATCTATTTGGACTGAATGTTGGTTGGATCCCTGGCCTCGGCAGAGCTGACAGATCATTGCAGTGGTGTCATGTTATGTTCAGATTTGGATCAGTTGTGCTTGATGAGATGACGGAGATTGAGCCTAATTTACCACATCTTTTGTGCACTTATTGTCACAGACAGCATTTCAAACAGTGGTGGCCAGAGAGATTGTTATTAAAGCATCTATCGTGAAGTTAAGTCATGTCGTAATCCAGTTGGTTATCATGAAGAGAAAAGATAGCTTATGTTGCGGAGGAGATCAACTCCATATTTCAGAGGCATTATTTTTCAGTTGCCAAAAGTGCAGTAAACTTTCCCCGAAAAGGTTTTGTACAAAACCTTTTCATATATTATAACGCAGAATCCCCTTTGAAACATGTTTGGCCATTTGTCACCCAATCATGTCATAATCCCTGGTTATTTTTCGTCATATCACAGAAGGGAAAGAAAGGGCCCAAGCGGAATGTCAAGTCTCCGTCAGGCAAATCCAAGGCCAGCCCTACCCTACAGCCAGTCATCCCTCCCAAGGTGGAGGACATTGAGCTTGGGTGAGTGTGAATAAACTAAGAATCCAGTTGGCTTCGTTCACAGGGCAGCCATATTGAATTGAAAGCGAGGTCTTTTTTTTGTGTTATTTTGGCACCTGAGAATGAAAATGAAAGCGCTGAAATAAAAACATTACAAATAATGTCATTTGTACTGATGAATATTTTTAAACGTTGTGATTATACTATGAACTACATTGATAAATATGAAAGTGAGGCATGGAACCCAACATAGTCTGTCACCAGCCCCATTAAACAGATTGCACTGAGTAAAATCAACATTGGCCTCCTTGTGAAAGGTCAGGGTTTTTTCAGTGCCACACTTTATATGAGTTATACACGGGTAAGTTTCATAATACTCTTATGTTTGAAAAGCGGGAAGATTGAATAGCTTCAAGAAGAAGAAGGGTACAGTCGTGCACTCTGTTCAATTCACAAAGTTTCCAGGGATTCGTCAGTTTAATACTTCTTCCAAAGCTTTCTACCCTGTTGGGATCACTGCATTCTGGTATGAAAGTGTTGTGTTGAGGATTTATCGTGGCGATGGTATTTCTTGCTCAGATCTGATGAGTATGCTGCCGGTCGCACATCTCTCCTGCGGCAGTTTGCAGGCAGGTTCAGCAGCTATTCCATCCCCTGCTATGTCGCTTCCGGCCAGCCGGGCGATCCAGGAACTCTTCCTTACAAGTGAGTCCCTGTGGACATTACATACATGCTACCAGTTTTCCTGTTCGCTGAGGATTATTAAACTTTGCTGTTGAAATAAACCATGCCATATATGCCAAAGAAACAGCAAAAAATACATTTTGTAGCGCTGCTTGCCAGTGAAAAATGCATCAACTGCATCACAAGACAAAGAGCTACTCTTGCTACTCTTAATGAGAACTGACACAATATTATTGGCAGAAAATGGCCTGGGGACGCATTTTCACAGAGCAGGTCATATTTTTCATCTTCTGGCCGTTTCCAAAATGATGGGTAAATTTTTCAAATTTGGAAATCTTTGAGAGTAGCTCATGTAGGCAGTAGCACCTCATCCATGTCATCAAGATGACAGTAGGGACGCTGTCAGATAGTAGCATATGAAAGCGGAGATGGTGCCTTTATATTTTTGTTACCCCAGTGTCCACAACACGCTCTACCTTGAGGTCCACTGCCCGGCAGTCAAGCCCCCCTTGGTGGTCATTTCAGACCGTGGCCGCACTACCAAGGACTTTGGGGACATATCAGTTGGTCAGCGCATCATCATGTCTGTGACCATACAGAACATCTCAGACCAGCCCTTGGAGGTATCCTTTTAGATTGATAAATGCACCCATACTATCCGTGGGTCAGTGGCATAGAGCTGCATTTGTGATTACTGCTAGTGCTTAAACCTGTCATTCCCTGTGTGGAGAAACGTCAGCACCCTCCTGAGTTTACACGTTCTAAAATAAGCGTGTTCATTTGTAGAACACCATGAAACAAGATGGAACAAATTCCAAATAAAGTGCTCAACACACAACCCTGATGTACTGGTTATGCTTTTCGTTTTTTGGCATGTTAGCTCTAATGAGACATCATCTACTGATAAGCTCTACAAAAGTCGTACAAATTTTCAAGCTTTCCACATGTTTCTTTGCTGAACAAGTCAACAAAAGTTTCTATTTTTTGTCAGTGAGGCTTAAATATGATATTTCCATTTTCTCTCCCTTATTACATCTAGGTTCTGCATGAAGAAACATAGAAGTGCCTTTTCCATAATAATTGGCTCTCCCGGGGCCTGCTGTCAAGTATTGTTTCCCTTTTTTAGCAAAATGAAAAAAAAAAGCATTTTTGCTTACAGTTGATATTTAGTATAAGGATCGTGTCTTTTCAAGTAATATCTAAAGCCACTTGCTTTGTTCCTTGACTAGTTACTCTCCTATCAGCTCAAATCCTCTATCTTAGATACCAGTGGCCCCTTCAGTCTTCTCAATGCTTTGAGAAGTCTTCCTGTCGATGGTACGCACACCCTCCTGATTGCTTTTGCACCCCTCAAGGCCAAAGTGGTAGGTTCCTTCAGATTGTTAAGCCATTGTCTACCATCGTCAACGATGACATTATTGTAGTCTAGACTGCCCCCATAAGCGAGCCCAGTTACAAGAACAGTCACAAATTGGGAATGTTGA